CATGCTTTCCTGCTCATCCTGACCCAGTACCTTGTATATACAGTTACGTACCTGACTCACTCTTGGAATTATACCAAACCAGGAATGATAATGGTGATGTTATTATAAAAGTTCAAAATAATGAATTCAAAATTCATAAAAATGTATTGGAGACTCGATGTCCTGTACTAAATGAACTGATTGGCGACAGTAATCTACTAGCTCTTGAGGATATTAAACCTAAAGTATTTGAGATGGTAGTAGAATATCTCTATACAGGATACGTCCTTAATACTAATGATCAACTTGTTGACAATGCTGAATGCTTATTAGAAGCTGGCCATCGATTTAAATTAGAATCTCTAAAAAATATCTGCATAAGACCTTTGGCTGAGCATTACATCGTAAAAGATAATTTAGTCGATGCTAAAATTTTAGCAATCCGCTGCAAATCGGAAACTCTGAATTTGTACCTTTGGAATTTACACACATTTAATTGTAATCAAAAATTTCGATACTCGAAGGAAAACATGCCGTCTGACTATGAACTATGGAGAAGGGGCCCAATCCTAGGGGGATATCTTACGTATCTGGGGGAGGAGTGAGTTAACATCTTTTATCCACTCATTTTCGATTCACTGTATTTTTTAATCATTTTTTTTTTATATTTTATATTTTTTCTATTTTTTTTTTTAGAGTGAAGAAACGAGGTTTTGATCCGCAGGATTTATTAGAAGAAAAATAAAAATTATAATAGATTCGTAGATATTGATATTAATGATGAAAAGGAAGAACTACTTGGTATTTGGACCAGATATAAGTAGTGTATTTATATAAAGTTTGTAATTCAACAATAATTTTTTGTAAGTTCAAATAAACTCTTGATTTGGAAAATTTGAAATAAATTGCTATCATTTTTTTTCACTCTTAGAGCCTTTAAAAGATATTTTCATATAATTTATGTGTTAAAAAATTATTAAATATCTGCTAAATTAATTTTTATTCTTCAATTCTAAATTTAATAAATGAAACACAATCAAAAAATTACAAACGTCAGCTAACTTTATTACTATTGTTAATTTCACCATAAAAATTAAGTTAACCAACATCTAAAAATTTTTAGAATTTTTTTTATATCGAAAAGTACCTATGATGACAAAAAGATGAAAAAAAATTTTATTTGTTAAAAACTTTAAAAACTGTAAGTGCAGTTTTTAAAAAATATTTTTTTTGTTCTAATTCTACTATAAAAAAATCTAAAAATTAAAAACGTCGGCTAACTTTAGTGTTATTAACTTTAGTATTATAAAAACGCGCACTGTGTCATATTATTACGTAAATTAATTTAAATAAAAATATTTATTTAATATCAATAAATTTTAATAAATAAACCGTTGCCATGAAAACATTTCTAGTGTACATATGTGTATTAGTTTCAGTTTTTTTCTGCGCATCTCTGCTCTGACAAATGACAGGCGCTAAAATAAAAAACTGCTATATTGGGGGTGCGGACTTGACATT